AAGTATTTATTAGGTACTCAAATTTAGCCAACAAAGCCACATGCAGAACATATATATATATATTAGAAGATTCCTAAATAATAATAAATAATTTGATTGAACTTTTCTAAAATGCATTACGTTTTTGTGTGATATTTGATTTTTAAGAAATGTAGCATGTTGAATAAATTGATAGTAAAAATCTCAAATGTACTGTATTTTTGAAAAGGTTAATATGAAATTTTATTAAATTGTTTTGTTTATCTAATAAAATCTGGAATTCTTTCCCAATTTCAAAAGAAGGATGTGTGAAGGATTAATGCATGTAACAAATAGATTTTTAAGAAAAATTGTCATTAGCATAACATGAGGAGTGTAAAATGGGAAGATCTTTATAATGTAATATAATGCAGTTGATAATCATCTGAAAAAGAGCCCATGAATGGTAAGACTGCTGAACACTGATAGTTAGGTTTATATCCTAACTATATATTTGGACACCTTTTGCTTAGCTTATCTGGTCTGATGATCTGTATAAAATGGTAAATGAAAAACAAAGTATTTGTACCCAATATTAAGTCTGATCTGCAAACAAGATTACTGTGGCTGCGGAAACCGACATGCCAGTGAAATATATGTGTCATGTAGATATTACACAAAATACATCAGCTAGAGTACTCTTATCAAGCAGTATGGGGACAGGTACCATATAACCAAATATGTACATATCAAACATTTGTAATTATGTATTTTAAAGTTATAGGCTTCCAATACAATTAGAATTTATATTTCTGTAATACTTATGAGTCTTCTCTGAAACATACTTATTTTGCTTAAATCTACTTCCAAAGTACTTTATTTTGATACAACCCATGGTTTAGAAAAATTAATGTTTCTGACATTCAAGAGCAGATAAAAGTCATACTTAACTGACAAAAACATATAAAATTAAAGTAAGGCAAAAATAGCAGCTTAACATAAAATCTTGTGTCAGTTTTAAGAAATAACTGACGTAGGTCCCTCTTCTTCAATAAAAATGAAAAAAGGTTTTTATTCCTGGCCTTTTTGAAGAACAGATATCAGATAACACTCAAAATTAATAAGAATTATACAAATTCTGCATCATTCTAAGCCTTCTTGATTTATTTTAATCTTGAAATTCATGACCTGACAAATTTTGTGACAACTATATATTTTTGAGAACCTGGGACCACAGGTGGATTTGTTCGAACAGCATTCCAAGTTCTTCGATTACATGCTCGAAATGACTCTGCATGAAAAATTTACAAATTAAATTCGTCAAAAGCTTTAGAAAGTGAAATCTAATGCACTCAGTAAATTTGTTTTTTCTGTGTGAGGAAATCAGCTTTTTCATTACCATCAGTTCTACAATGGAAATGAGCCTGCTTGGCAATTAGTCTGAGTTGAAAGTGTCTTGAAATTTCTAAAGATGTCTGCAAATATAGCTTTGATATATATACAAGTGAAATCTATTTAGCCTATTCTTAGTATCAGTAATATTAGGGTTTTTGCAACATTAAATGGGGTACAAAAAGTCCATTATGTTATTTTCGGTGATGAAATGTACGAAGTTTGCACGCGTCCTTTGCTCAATTTGTCCTTTGTTCTTTTTGTTTGCTTATTACTTATTCCAGGGAAAAACGTCTTGCATGTTGTAACCGTACTTTAACATATATTTTAAATTTAATTTTACATTAAAACATGAAATATAAATAAATTATTTTAGGATTTCCATCGAGATGGTTTTAACATGAAAACTGCATAATGGAATTCCTAATAGTGTAAAGGAAGGTATAGTTATTATAAAGACTATTAGTATTAATAGAGGTGAAGCTAAGCAGGCTTTAAGCTTAACGAAAAGTGTTTCCACAATAAGACCTTCTTTGACTCACATGAAGTTTTAGATTTAAAGACAATGCTAAATGGGGAAATGGGAAACCTTTAGCAAAATAGAAAATTTTTGAAAAATCTCTGCTGGTTCTTAAAACCTTACAAATGATCAACTGATGTGAGAAGAAAAGTGAGGGGCAACTTCTGGCACAAATTGTGCACATCATGAAATTTATTTGCTATTTTATGTAATTTCCATGATATTTCTTATTTAATTTTTTTTCATGCACAGTTACTATTTGTTTTCCGTTTAAAACATTTAAAAATTAAACATAATTTGGTATTTTGAATTTTATAAAATAAAGTGTGTGCTCTTTGTTAATATTTTAATAGCTCACCACTAGATATTTTAATCAAAATTTTATCTAGGTTGATAAATTACAATTTAATATATATTGCTCAAAATATCAGATTATGTAGCATAATATGAATATTTTTTAATAAATTTTTAAACTCTGTAAATTTTCTTTTTTAATACTATATTTTAAAATATTTTTTGCGCATGGATCATATGGATAATCACAAAATATAACTTGAAGTTCAAAATTTCAAGTGTTTGTTTTCTATGTATAAGTAAGTTGTTTTTATCAATTTAACACTTCAATCAGTCATTTCTTAACATATTAAATATAGCATTGGTCCCTAGGAACCAACCTTAAACCAAGCAAAATAGAATTGTTATTTAACCATGTTAGATATTAGGAAAACATAACATTAATGTAAACCATTGTAAAACAATAAATGATTATTACTAATTATTGTAACTAAATGCACACTTATACTCAGATACCACCCATTTGTCTTAAAGCCGTTTTTGACTCTTATACAACACTGGTATAATAAACTGAATGATGTTAATTTATTAAATCTGCTTGGAGAATAACAATTATAAACAGAGTCCTTTGTGTGCAGTTATTCTGCTACTAAGAACAATTATTATTCCAGATGAAAAAAAAAAAAAAAGTTCCCCAATCAGTTTCAATATAAAGAATAAATTATGATATATCATGTAATGATAACTTCATCCGAAGATTCTGGAGCAGTAGTAAGAAACTTTCTATAAAATGGTCACAAAATTTTCACACTGAGAAAAATTATTACTATCTTCCATAATTAGTATTCATCAGCAGTCGAGTGGATAAGACTAAGAAGCACTAATAGTTTGAACACAATACTGAATTAAATAAATTACTACCATTGATACAGAACTTTTTTAAAAAAAGAAAGAAAACACTTATACAATCGCTTACCAATTGAAATATTTTTATGCGTGCTCTAATATGCATAATACAGAATTGTGAAAATTCACCACAATTCCACAATCAGAAATGATAGCAAATTATAGGAACATAGGCAGCAGATGTGTAGACTACAATATACAATTTCTTGCTCTTTACAAAATAAAAATTAGAGGCATCCAATGGTGATAGCTGTTGTTGGAATATTTTATTTGTACAGAAAAAGAAAATGCTTTGGATTTCAAGAAAACTTATACAGAATTTCTGCTAGGGATTAATACATGACATCTGAAATCATAAGCAAGTGGAATTAAAATTGCAGCTTAAAGACTGTGTGATTTCCTAAAATATAATTACAAACCCTGGAGACTAATGAAGGTGATAAATTACTGCATATTATTCAGAAAAGTCTTGGCAATGAAAGAAAATAATGTACATAGTAACACATACAGTGTAATATAAAGTGTAAAATACCCCACAGATTCATCATGAATAAAAATTACTTGATTGTGCTAATGTTCCAAGACTTTAAAAATTACATCTTTATTTTTACATAACACAATGAAATGAAACAGAATTGTTTTGATGGAGAATAATGCATAACCAAGTTTCATGTTAATTTTTTCAATTATTTTTTTTTTTTTTTTTGGGAGTTACTGGGTTACCTGGGTTATTTTATGAGTTATCCCACATCAGTATTTTAATATACAGATTCTCTGAATAATCATTGCATTTTCTATATTTCAGTAGGAGCTTTTGTTAATGTGATTTTTGCCTACGGAAAAATATACAAAAGAAAAATTTCTAAAAGTTTTTAAAAGTAGTTTTAAATAAAAAAAAAAAAAAGACACATTCTTAAAATATTTTTCTTTATTGAATTTCACGATGTTTAGAGTACGTGAAATAATATGAACCTAGATATCAACAAGCATTTTCAAATACACAAAGAGCCCAGAAATTTCACAGTAAGTAATTTTTATCAATTATTATTTTCACCCTTTATTTAAAAGTAAAGAAAAGTTATTGGGTATCGAGTTAGCCAATTGAGTGGAATATATGTTTTCGAAATTGAGATTTACATACTTCACTTATCGCTTCTACAGTAAATTAAATATTAAATCATATCAGGGCAACACAAAATAACCAAAACAAATGAAGTACTTCTACCCAAGAAATACGAACAAACAACTGCTTTCTTGTATACCAGTTTTGCACAAAAATTGCGTTTGGCGATCGGAAAATGACGCCAAAAGTTCCTGGCGCAACGGTTGTCTCTGATTGGTCGAATTTCTCCAGTTCCCGGCGGGTTTTAGCCGCCCGTCCTAAAATCACAGTTACAGTTTGTCATAATCATCTATGACTCTTCCATTTATCATGAAAAATTTTTGGTTGAATCACTGTTTTAAAAGAAGGAAAATGAAAATTCACAGTAGAATTGGGAGTTTTTCATACCAGTTTGTATATTTCTTTTAATATTTTCTAATTTATTCTAATTTTTTGTAAAAAATTTGCTCAGAATCTGTTTTTGCTCACCTATAAATATTGATATATTATTATGTTAGTGTTTGCAGGTAAGAATGAGCATATTGATCATAAATAAGAATAAATATTCTGAATTTGATAATGATATAAAAAAAAACACTATGGATGAGTAAGTTTTGGAGAGGATTTGGCAGGTTCTTGGAATTTTTAATTATTTCTATTTATTCCTTCTTCAATGTAGTGTTTATTCTGTGTTGTATTTTATTTTGTAATATTTTGTGTTGTTGATAATCTGTTGATAAGTTAGAATTCATTATCTTTATAAAATTTGTGCAAAAAGGGTTTTAAAATTTTTTTTTTTTTTTTTTTTTTTTTTTCTTTTATGTTTAGGATGCTTATCTTACTCATTTCAAACTCATCTGAAACAAAATGAAGGGTCAGAATGACTTCAAATTTTGTGTGAGTATTCATGAAATAATATAATCTTGTTTGGTAACTTTTAAAATTTTTTTCTTGTAGATCATACTCTGATGTGTACTGGCAGTATCAAAAACTAAAAATGCTTATATATATGACATATCCACATCATAAAAGGAGTCATCAACAGGGGTGTATTGAGGGAGGGACATCCTGGGTCTGATTAGAGGTGGTCTTTAAAAAAAGGATTATGGAAAAAGATGTCTGCGTTGAAAATGTTAAAAGTGTATTGTGGAAGTGAACTTACAAGAATCAGTCTGTAACTTATGTTTGGCATTAAATACTTTTTTGACAGTGTGTGTCAGCTGCTTCTTGCAAGAGACGTTTACCTAATGGCACAATGACGCATTCTACTGTGAATTGTTGAATTATGTATTAACTTTCGTCTGCTTTTAAAACCCCAAATTGACCTACCATCTTTAAAATTAGATATTACATTAAAAATGTCAACAAATTACATTTAAATTCCTTTCAAACAAAACCCCTCCGAGGCTCACTTTTGTGAGTATGGGTGTGACAATCCTGAGGTACCCTAGCCCTTCAGAGGATCATCTTCTTGGTGAAATGGGTGTCATGATCCTGGAGCACAATGATTTAACTTCTTTTCATTCTTCTCTTGGCTGGAACTTTTTCTCTTTCTTTCTCCCTTGTGATTTTCCTCTTCAGAGGTTGGGGGCTCATCATGAGAAACTGGAACAGCCCTTGTCTGTAGTTTTCATATGGCGAGAAAACAGCCCATGTATTAGCCATACGTGGAGACCTGTGTCGCTGGAAAGGAGGGTCCTGGTAGTTGAGGGATGAGGTACCGTCCACAACACACTGCTTTATCTTCTGCTTCAGCTAAATGGGAGGTACCTTGTCATCCTCATAGGTGTCAATTGACTGGTCACTAGTCCTTGTGTCAGTGGCTTGGGGAAAAGCTTGCGGAAGTACCTGCTTTCGGGAAAGTCGACTGGGGGAGAGCTTCAATTTGCGTATAGGTCTGGCTAGCCCTAACACAGGAATCTGTGTTTCCGTGGTGGGTGGCGCAGTCAGACTCGAATCATTTTTCTTAAAAATATGGCAACTCCGAATATATAATTCAGAAGCCAGACACTAGTCATGTCCTTCCCAACTGAACATCCCAAAGAATCTAGCAGAAAGATGCATACTGATGCAAATGCTGATAAATCAAATATCTGTCCACATTTCGTTATAGTTTTAAGTCCTTCTGGAGAAATGCAAAAGTTATCTCCATTTGTAATTTACAAATGTATTCATTCTTCCATCAGTGAGCCTAGAAACATAAAGCATCTTCGTTTTGGAGCCTTGCTTATTAACACTTATTGCTTGCTTCCCTGCGATTAACCAAGCTCAGGCAAATTGATATATCTGTGTCTGCATATAAAACCTTAAACTTTTGTAGAGGCATAATCTTGGAAGCCGACCTTCTGTTTGTTTCCAAAGAAGAGTTCGTTTCCAAGCTAGCCAATCAAAATGTATGTGTTGTTAGGCGGATCAAGGTGCTTAAGGAAGGTCAGTTGATAAATACAAAATATGTGATCCTGACCTTCAACTTCCCTGACCTGCTTAAGAATATTAAGGCTGGATACCTCAATTGTCCTGTACGCCCATATATTCAAAACCTGATGCTATGTTTCCAGTGCCAGTGTTTTGGTCAATCTAAGATCTCCTTCCGTGGCAACCTCATGTGTGCACATTGCTCTGTGGTTGGCCACAATAGTGACATTTGTATTCCTGCCCCACTGTGCACAAATGGCAAGGTTGAACATGTCGCTTTCTCATGCTCATGTCCCAAATTGCAATGAAAGAGAGAAGTTCAGGCTATTAAAATTGTGAGAAATGTAGCTTACGCAGAAGCCAGAAGGATAGTTGAAGGCACTCACCCATGAACAGCCATGTCTTTTGCTAGTGCTGCAAAATCAACATGATCTATTGGTACCCGAACATCAATTAGTACACACTGCTATCTAAAACTCAACACACTACAATCAATCCCATAATTGACAAACCAACTCACGAAATGCAGAAAAAAGAAACAGTAGTCCAAAACAAATTTTAAAAAGTCTCCGTAAAAACTACAAACAAACAAAAAAGTGTCAGCAATAGTTCATTTGACTGTATGATTTCAGACTACGTTGATTCAGATAACATGAATGTACAGAAAAGGTTAGAAATTCCCAAACATCTACTTCCACACAAAACCAAAACACAGCACAGAAAGAATAAACACCATTCATAATGGCCACTCTCATATCATGGAGTTGTTGTGGTTTCCACCAAAATCTCATTAACATCAAACATCTGATCAATGTCTTTCGTCATATGTGCTTGGCAGTCCAGAAAACTCTGTTAGATCATCTGGTTAAGCTCGGGAGGTATTGTTTGAACAGAAAAGATGATTTTGATGGTAATCATGTCTGTTGAAGCATAGGTATTATAGCCTCACTTGATTATCCCTCCAATTAAATCTCATTATGAATGAGCCTCTAAGCTGTAACCATGCAACTTAATGCACAAAATTTTGTTTCAGTTTGTTCTCTTTACTTGCCTCCAAATAAACACATTGATCAACGAGATTTAGACTATTTGGTAGAACAGCTGCCTAAGCCCTTTATCATAATAGGAGACTGTAATGCTCATACCGCGCTCTGCAGAAGTAAGGATACAAATCCTAGAGGCAGACAAATAGAGCGAATGATTGAAGATCACTGCCTCTGTCTTCTCAATAATGGACAAGATATTTACTTCCACAAGCCTACAAGAACCTTTCACACTATTGATCTTGCCATCTGTTCACCATCTCTTTTACCTTTTTGTTCATTCAGTGAAGAGAATGATCCTTATAATAGCAATCATTTTCCAATTTTTGTAACTCTCGCACAAGAAGAAATAAATCCCACATTTAGAGCTCCTCATTTCATGTATGATAAAATCTGAGAAATCTTTTCATATATTATGGACCTCACAGAAGAAATGGTTGCTGCTATGCCTATCGATGAAGCAGTTAAACCAGCTACTGATATTATGCAGGCAGCTGTAGTCTCTTTACCTATGACATCAGGAAAAGTAAGAAAATATCCAAAGTCATGCTGGAATCATGAGTGCCAGGAAAACTCTTAAGACAGCAGAGAAAAACTTGGGGAACTCTCCATAAGTACCCAACTCTGTCAAACTTCGTAGCCTTCAAAAAAAGCAAAGCAAATGCAAGGAAAGTAAGCCATAAGAGTCAGAGAGATTCATGTATATCCTATGTATCTGGGATAACATGAACTACACCAACTAAACAACTCTGGGAAAGAGTTAAAAAGACATGTGGAATATATAATAACCACTCAGTTTCCTTTATGGAAAAAGATGGTTAAGTGATAAGCTCCACAGAAGAAATTGCAAACACTATTGGTGCTTCGAGCAATAATTATCCACCAGCCTTTCTTTCTGTTAAACTGCCATCTGAGAAAAGCTCTCTTGCATTTAATTAACTCTTCCAACTCTGCCTTATAATAGTGTTTTTATTATGCTTGAGCTGAAAAGAGTTCTATTGCAGACACGTAGGTCTAGTCCAGGTCTAGATGGTGTTAGTTTCGAAATACTGAAGCATCTGTCTGACTACCCATCTTGCTCTTTATAACCAAGTGTAGAAGGAACATATTTTCCCCAATGTACGGAAGAGAGCTGTTGTTATTCCTATACCTGAGCCAGGAAAAAACCCAAAGAATCCCTACAACTATCTGCCTATTGCACTTGCGAGTTGCATGTGCAAGGTTTTTTAAAAAAAATAGTGAACAGCCACCTAGTCTATTTCTTGGAAGAGAATCATATATTGCCCTGTCAAAGCGGTTTTCAAAAAGGAAGAATGACCATGGATTACAGGCTCCTTTTGGAAACATTTATTCGCAAAGCCTCTGTGAGAAGAAACTGTCTTGTCTCTGTCTTTATTAATACAGAGAAAGCTTATGATAAGGCAGGGAGATATGGTATATTTCGTGAACTTCACGACAGTGACTTGCATGGCAACCTGCCTATTATCATTAAAAAATAAATTTAGAGTAAGGACTTCTTCAAGTCAGGAGCGGTGCTGTTTTATCAGATGTCTTTTTACAAGAAGAGGATATGCCAAGGCTGTGTGCTCAGTATTACTTTGTTCACTTTAAAAATCAACTCTCTCTTAAAGCAACTTCTTCCTGCGGTTTTAGGATTGTTATATGTTGATGATCTGCCGATAAGCTGTCATGGGGCAGATATAAGACATGTAGAGAGACAACTGCAGATTGCTCTGAACAGGATTCAGGACTGGTCAGACAAACAAAGATTTATGTTTTGAAAACAGAAAACTGTTTGTGTGCACTTTTGTAGAAAGCGAAGTCTTCATCTTGAGCCTGAGTCTTCATGGGTCAGTGATTCCAGTTGAACCTGAAGTAAAGTTTTTTTGAGTGATGCTCCACCAAAAACTAATCTTCCTGCCTCATTCCTACATCTGAGGAAGAAGTGTACCAAAATATTAAGTCTTTTAAAAGTGTTGGCGGACACTTCCTGGGGCACAGAGCGCGCACTTTACTTCATGTTTACAGCGTGGTTGTCTGGTCTTATGGCTCAGCTGCTTACGGACCTGTAAGGCCTTCAGTTTTGTTAAAATAGATCTAATTCATCATCAGGCACTGCAGATTTTTTATGGAGCATTCAGAACATCTCCTGTCGAGAGCTTTTATGTTGATTGTTATGAACCATTACTCCAGTTAAGGCATGAGCAGTTCTCTTCTACATTATTTTAATATTATCTCAATCTGACCATCCTTTTAAGGTATAATTGCTTGATGGCATGTATGACATTCTGTTTGAGGAACACTAGCGAGATCATATACAAGTAACTTGTCTTTGAGCATAGACATAAATATAGCAGCCATGTTTCCATATATACAGATGGGTCAAAAGCAACTAGTCTTGTTGGAGCAGCATTTGTGATAGATGACCATATAAAGAGAAGATGCTTGCACCACACTTGCTTTCTCTTAACATTTAAACTGACTGCTCTATATTATGCACTTCTATTCATTTCAAAGCTACATCAAAGAAATTTCATAATTTATACAGACTCGTACACCGTATAATCGGGAAAGAGGCCAATTTTTAATTTATTTCACTACCTGAAAGAGGCTTATTTTTGTAATGTAATTTGATTTTCTTTTAATGTTGTATCTTTGTACTTAAGTGTTATATATTTTAATGTATCTCATGTTTTACAGCTTTACAGTTACTACAGTACTTTACAGTACTACTTCAGATCTCATATCAATATATAAATAATAAGTAACTTCATCTCAACTTTCATCATTTTATTACTTCATTAGATTTTATAAGTCTGGTGTTGTTTTAAATTTGTGATTTATATAATTAACGTGTGGTTTTAAATGTAACTCGTACTTAATTAACATGTGTCTGGCACTAATAACCTATTTAGGTTGTGCACCAAAAAATTTCACTAGCACCACCACCTTCAGACAAAATGTCTGCCATAACATGAAACTGCATTTGAAATACACTATATTCACAAAATTATCTACCTTCACTGGAGAAGGGGATGTGGCCATTATATGGTCTGAACTGTTATCGAATAAAAAAGACAGTTGCTGTTAATAGCATTGGAAGTTCGTATAAATATGTTAGACAGACCAGTAAACCAGTATAATTGAGTGAACTACATCATGGCATAATCATAGGGTGCCATCGTTATAGCAATTGGTTCATGAAATATCAGCCTTTGCTGCAGATGCTCAAGCCTCTGAGTGGCATGGCTTTTTGAATGTGCTCTTGAAGACCTGTATTTAAATACCATTTATTAGCTAAATTTATATAATTACTTATTTTAGTCTCTGTAACTCTTCTGTTTTCATAAACTTTCATTCATTTAGATGATACATCATTAAAGAAAGTAAAAAAGCAAAATATTTTAGATTATAAGCCTTTAGACCAAGTGACAAAAAATCTCATGACCCTTTGAGTGGCATGACTGTGCCACTGAAAGGGTCATGAGATTAGTTAAATCAGCTGTAAGTGATGTTAAAAAATGTAAAGTCTATAATGGGAAATGAAAGACAATGAAATAGTAGGATGTGTAAACTTAATTATTACAGCTGCTAAACCATAAAAAATCACTTATAACCAGTTGCTGTGCTGATTCATAAGTTTCAAAATGATCTGATGTCAATACTAATAGCAGAATTGTTACCCGAGACCTGAAATGCCTCAGCTTTGATAATTTTGTGATCACTCACAACTCAAACATAAGGGTACTTACTAATGCTAATTACAGTGGTACAAAGCTCACCACCCTTTGATTGTGAAACAGTGGAAATTCTATGGAGTAATAAATCTTATTGCATAAGCTGGTAGAAGCCAGATGCGTTTTTTATATCCAACTGTATTTGTCATCTGTCGAACTTGATGTTAGAGAAATCATGATTTGGCTGGATTTCTTAGTTCTTATGGTCAGAAAAATAAACATTGAGATATATATTGATATTCTTGAAATCTGTGTCCTTCTTCTTTTCTGACAACAGTATTATTAATATGAATATTATTATTGACAGGAAAACTGTTCTGAACCTCCCAGCAAAGGTTGTGCTTGCATAGTTTGAAGAGATGGTTATTAAAAAATTTAAATGACTTTTACATAATCTAACCTAAACTCCATTAAACATTTCTGGAAGAAAAAAATTGAAATGCAAATTACATACCTAGATAATCACACAATTTCAGTAGCCAGACTCACTGCAGCTCTCTTAGATTATCAGGAAGCAATTTCTATAGACATGTTTCAAAAGTTGAAAATCTTCCCAGATGAGTTCAGGCTGTTATTTCTGATAGTTGAATAGTGAATATGAACTTAATGCATATAGCCCCAAATATTATGTGGAGTTCAGTGTCTTTGGTTGAATGAAATAGTGTTGTAAAGACACCTGATGTAAGAATGTCTGGAAATGAAAGGAGGCTTCTGGAAGATTCTTCGGGAGAGATGATTAGGAGTGGGTAAATGTGCAAGATCATCATATCTTTGCCAAAATGACTTGGATATCTTTAGAAATGTTATTTTCCTTGAAACTAATTTCCTAGGCCCTTTGTTATCACATTCTATACTTTTTGCAGCTCTATTCAATGTTCTTGGGTGATATATACAAGTCATGAGATATATTAGAATATTTTTGGCCATGATTTTACAGTTCTGACAGAAGAAGCCTTCATTTTATTAAACTCCATTTCATAGTCTCGATTTTGTTATTTTTCAATTCTTAAGGACTCTGAAAAAATAACAACTATGAAGCATGTCGAAAATAATATGAATTCAACACATCTTGTAGACATATGTGTTTGCAGCAGTGAAGCAGACTTTTTATTTGCAAGTTATCTCCATTTTTGGCATCAGCTAAATTTTATAATATCCTATAAGCTACAAGTACTGTGGATTTTGCAAATTATGATTAAATATTCATGTTGTAAATAATGAAGACACCTGTAAAAATTTATAAAATGTGTAAGTGATGCCATCTCTTTTGGTAGGATGTTAGTGGAAGTTAGCTATCATGCCCAATTTCACTGATTTGAATTCCAAGTAAGGTGCAGACATTTATGAATTACTTTTTTATTTATGAATTTTTTGTTGCATGCGTACGGGTTCGTTACGAAATAAATGCACGAGTCCGAAGAAAAATGAACAAAAATTTATTATTATCACAACAATATGCTTAAATTTCCTACAATATTCGTGCAGTATTACGATATTTGACAGTAGTTATCTTTTAACTACTCAAACGTTCAAAAGAACTTAATTCAAAACAGCTAAAGAAAGCTAATCCGCGAATTCGCTACAGTCAACAAGAGCAGTTTTCTAAACAAACTCTTAAAACAACAACAAACTAAGTAACTACCACGAACTGAGAGGTTTT